GAACTCTTAATAGTCAGCTAGAATGGTTGGATATTGACAGTTCTCTTAGGAGTTTGCTGACCGTTTCTCAACACACTTCTATTTCATATCTCCCATCTTGTCGTATGTGTTCTCTATAATGGGACCTAGTCTACTCAATTTGATAAATAGGTATCTAAAGATATTTTTATTTAATCACTATGTGTAGCTGGGAAAAATCATTTAAGTTATCATTTTGCACATGTATTCTTGTAAAATCAGAAAAGAAACCGTCAGAATCCTTTATACGTAGCTAGAGTCATTAAAGATCCGAATATTATTACAGCACACAAAAACAAGTGCCGCGTAGTGGCGGTTGAGAATATCCACTACCCCATATCTTCCCGTGGGTGTCGTAAGAGGCGACAGAGGAAGACAGGCAGGAGATGGGCAGCAGCATCTTCCTGATAACAACTGTGATAAAATAAAAAAACTGCGGTTGCCAACCCGCTCGCCAAGCGTGGCAACTATGGCAAATATCCCTCCATGAATAACGACGCAAACAAACGGCCCCCAGTCCCCGGCGGACCCGCTATTCCTGGCTACGGTGGCGACCATGGTAACGGAGGAGCAGGGGGTGCTAAGAATCTCCGGTGGAGGTTCGGTTGCCGCCTACGACGACTCGACCTGGAAAAATATAACGCACGCACACTGAGGACTGACGAGAAGATACTGGAGCTGGAAGAAGAGGTAGACAAGTTGCGCTGGCATATTATTGGATTATCCGAGGTCCGAAGAGAGGGGGAGGACACGGTAATCCTCGAGTCCAGCAACTTGTTCTATCACCAGGAGGGCGACCATCTGTCCCAAGGAGGTGTCGGATTTATCGTCCACAAGTCTCTCGTCAACAACGTTGTAAAGATTGGGAGTGTGTCGACGAGGGTCGCGTAACTGATACTCAGAATCACCAAACGGTATTCACTGAAGGTCATACAGGTTTACGCACCAACTTCAGCACAGAGAAGAGAAGGTGGAGGAAATGTATGAGGATATTTCCAGAGCCATGCATTCCTCCAAAATCCTACTACACGGTGTTGATGGGAGACTTCAACGCAAAACTAGGCACAAGAGAACGCGGTGAGCTGAAGGTAGGGAAATTTGGATTAGGGCAACGACGGCCGACTTTATGGAGAAAGAGGGACTCTTTATGATGAACTCTTTCTTCCAGAAGCGGCCCCACAGGAAGTGGACCTAGTCGAGCCCCGATGGTTCGACAAAAAAATGAGATTAACTCAGTGATCGCAAGGGTGAAAACTGGCAGCTATCACGGAATGGTTAGAGGCACACTGAACCTAAACGTGAAGTTGGAGAGGTCAAGTCTAGGAAGTCAACGCTCCAGAATCCAGAAACCTTTCAGATCGAGTTACGTAACCGCTTTCAGTGTCTAGAAGATTGCAATACAGTGGACGATATGAATGACAAGCTCGTGGAAACTGTCCATGCGGTCGGAGCTAAGTTCTGCAAGACCCACCGCAGAAGAACACAAAAACTCTCCGATCACAGACCGATTTTCGAATGCATGCGGCGAGACTTACGCAACTTTAATACTGCTCGTATTAAAGAAGCGATCGAGCGGAACCAGGGCTCTAAAGTCTTTGCCAGAGATCTGTCTGCCAGAAAGAGCCAACTGTCAAAGCTGAAGACTGAGTGTGGCAGCATCGTTTCCAGGACACCTGAGATTCTGAGTGAGATTGAGAGATTCTATAGGCACACATCATCGTTAGAACCACACGCAAGTGTGAGTAACGATCCAAGAGCAAGTCTTATCCGACACTATTCCGATGATATCCCGGACGTCAGTCTTAGCGAGATTAGATGGCTCTCCAGCACCTTAAAAACGGCAGGACCCCCGGCGAGGATGGAATTACAGCGGAGCTTCTCAAAGCGGGTGGAACACCGGTACTTGAAGTCCTTCAGAAGCTCTTCAATTCCGTCCTCCATGTTGGCACTACTCCGGAGGAGTGGAGCAGAAGCGCGGTGGTCTTGTTCTTTAAGAAAGGCGACATCGCTCTCTTGAAGAACCACGGACCGATATCCCTTCTGAGCCGCGTCTACGTGCTGTTTTCGAGAGTCATTACGAATCATCTCTTTCAGCCTCCCGAACAAGCCGTTTCCGAAAAGGCTTCAGTACCATAGACCATATACATACCCTGCGGCAGATTGCACAGAGGACCGAAGAGTACAATCTGCCACTTTGCCTGGCATATGTGGACTATGAGAAAGCCCTTGGTTCCGTCGAAATTTGGGCAGTGCTACAATCCCTTCAGCGGTGCCAAGTTGACTGTCGGTATATCGAGGTGCTGAAGTGTTTGTACAGTAGGGCTATGATGGCTATCCGAGTGCAGAACCAGAGTTCGAAACCTATCCAACAGCAGAGAGGTGTAAGACAGGGTGATGTTATATCCCGAAACTATTCACCGCTGCGTTGGAAGACGTTTTCAAGCTACTGGACTGGAAAGGATACGGTATTAACATCAATTGCGAGTACATCACTCACCTTCGATTTACTGACGATATAGTCCTTATGGCAGAATCGCTGGAGGACCTAAGCACTAATGACCTCAATGGTGTCTCCCAACGGATAGGTCTTAAGATGAACATGGACAAAACAAAGATCATGTTTAATGTCCATGTCACACCTATGCCGGTAGTTGTTGGGTGCACTATGCTCGAAGTTGTTGACGAGTACGGTTTACCTGGGACAAATAGTCCGACTAGGTAAGTCCAATTTCGACCGAGAGGTCAATCGACGGATTCAACTCGGCTGGGCAGCGTTCGGGAAATTACGATACATCATCTCGTCAGGTATACCTCAATCTCTGAAAACTAAAATGTACAACCAGTGCGTGTTGCCAGTGATGACTTACGGATCTGAGATGTGGTCCTTCACTGCTGGCCGTATGAGGACGCTCAAGGTCGCTCAGCGGGCTATGGAGAGGGCTATGCTCGGAGTTTCTCTGCGTGATAGACTCAGAAATGAGGATATCCGCAGTAAAACGAGAGTGACCGACATAGCCCAACGGATTAGTAAGCTGAAGCGGCAATGGGCCGGTCATATAGCTCGAAGAACCGATAACCGATGGGGAAGAAAGGTTCTCGAGTGGCAGCCTCGTACCGGTAGGCGTAGTGTAGGGCGACCCCCCACTAGATGGAGTGACGACTTGGTAAGACATGCAGGAAGTCGATGGATGCAGGTGGCTCAGGACCGTGCTTTGTGGCGTTACTTGCGGGATGCCTATGTTCAGCAGTGGACTTGTGAATGGCTGTAATGATGAATGATGATGATGACACAAAAACAACAGAAAATATTCACTACCACCGTAAGCTCAGTGCCAAACGTAAAAAATGATTTGATTGACGTTTGAGTTTTGAACTAACGTTGACATTTCCGCTTTGTGGACTGTATAAAACATTGATAATCGATTGTGAAATCGATTTATTAATCTATTCAGTCAATCTATTTATTACGACTTTTTTGAAACGTTGAAGTGTTAGGAGGAAACCATTAGTTGAATAATAAGTTTCTTAAACTTACATAAAGAAGAAAACACAAAAATACAAAAGTAATTCACTTTTTGTTCTTTTTTTCTACTTTTGTATTAAAATTGATTAACAAACCTATATCATCCGGCAGCATTGTTTAAAAAGGAAAATAACGGAAGTCAGTGTTATTTTTATTAAATGTTTAATTTCTTTTGCCATGATAAAACTGCTTAATATTTCATTATTAACTACAAAAAAACTGTAAAGAAATATTGATAAATATTTCACTTGTGTAACGTTAGGCCTAAATTCGCCCGTCTCCTTTACAGTGATTAAAAACATATTTTAAAAAGAAACGAGGTCCTCAGGCGTGACAAAACATCTGAATTTAGATTCTTAATCAAGGATAAAAATGTAGATTTCTACGGGCTATAGTAACACGTACCATTATGTGGACCATAGAATACTATAATACACAATAGAATGGATGTCAACTTTATTTTGTACGAGGATTGGCGTCACCAAATCCGATTCGCTGTGTTGACAGACTGAGTTAATTAACACATTTTAGACTTTTGATTAATGTTCAAGACCATCATTAAAAAAATAGTTTAAATTTTAATACATATTTATTTAATAGGCATTTCTTATATTTACGCGAACAATATACATGATTAAAACTACTTTTACGGATTTTATCGCGTTTATTTTTACTTTTTATTTACTTTTATTTTTAATTCAACATTACATCAGATTACATAAGATTTGATAGACCACAAATCCTCGCGAAAGAACATCGATTCCTACCAAGGATGATACGTGAGGCTATTGAAATTAAAAAACATCCTAATTTCAATAGAGAAGGAGGCTGGGTACTACCACCTGCTTGGGATCCTATAATAAATAAAATTAAAACTAAACCCAAGCATACCACTGCAAGACCTCAGGACATAGTCAGTTCATTTTGCATAGATCGGACCATAAACAATAATTAAAAAAGCTGAAGGTACTCCGGGTTTAACAATGACATCGGGACGTCAGTCATCTCAGTCCCCCGTGACCATGGGTGCTGGAAAGCGCCCGAAACGTCGGGAATTAAAAATAAAAGTAAATAAAAAGTAAAAATAAACGCGATAAAATCCGTAAAAGTAGTTTTAATCACATATTTATTTGTAAATAGGGTGCAATTTGGTATTTTCTAAATAATTTTCATGCGAAATTTGTAAACGATTGTAACGTGAAAACACATCACGTGTTGACATTTATACGTGTGAATTGACGTGTTAGTGACATTTTAGTGGCTACGCGGGCTCCGCACACTCCTCCGTTCTATTATGTATGTATTATAGTATTCTATGATGTGGACTGTGTGCTCGTTTGTTACTCTTATTCTATAAAAATATGTTAAATCACTGAAAATAATTTTTCGCTGAATATAATTTCAGGTTGTGGATATAGTAGACCAGGACTGCTACAGTGCTTATGCGTATATCGCAGACATGGGTTCGGGCGCTATCATAGTTTACGATTTGAGGAACGACATGACTTGGCGCATCGAAAGCCCCCTTTTTCAACACCAGCAAATTGCAAGTGTCTACAAAATAGGGGGTGTCGAGTTCTTCTGGAACGATGGAGTATCTTCCGTCGCCCTGTCGCAGAAGAAACGTGAAGGGTTAGTATTCATTGAAACTATTATATCTTTTTCTTAAAAACGTTACCTCACATTATTTTAACATACATAAAATAAATTTTTATTTTGATTTATTTATTTATTTACTTTTACTTTAATTAAAAAGTTTCAACTAATTTCATTAATTAAACACAACATATTCATTCTTCTCGCTTATGAAATAGTACATAATGAATAAATATCCATAATATGTAGTGGCAGAGTAAGAATATCCACTAGCCCATATTATCATCCCATGAGTATTCTAAGAGACGACACAGCGAAACAAACATGAGGTGAGAGAAGAGCCAAGCGTGGAAATTATGACAAAATGCCGCCTATACGGCAATCTGTGGGGGCGGCCTATGTTCGGGAGGGTAGTTTTCATGACTGTAATGAATATGAATGAAATATCCTGATTTTGACCTGACCATGGGTTCGAACCCAAGCTCTTTTGATCAGCAATCGCGTGGACGACCACTAGATCAATGATACAGTCAAAGTAACAGCCTGCTCCTTTCTAAAAGCCTGTCAACGCACCAGCATTTTCTCTGGTCGAGCCGTTACAACGAAGAATGAATGATGTACCTATATGCCAGATAATATTCTGAACGGTGACGAAAAGTAGCGTCAAATGTGTCAAAGCGTTATCGAGCATAGAGATTGCTTCCCGCTTGCATAGACTGGCACTTTCTACGTTAGAAGGGGCCCGTGGCACTTAATATGCAGCTGGTTTAGTAAAATATGGACTTAAAATAATTTCCCACAAAACTAACCTTGTAAACAGAAAATTAATTTTCAAGGTACCGGGATCTATATTGTCATTCGACCTCGAGTACAAAGCTGTTGAGAATTTCAACAAAATTGCTGCGAAACCCGTATGTTAATCCAGAGGAGATACGTAACGGAATAAAAGTAAGTGTCCATTACATTTCTGTTTGGTGTCTTTTTTTGTATATTTTTACTTACGTACCCTTTTTACTAAAAACGAGGCGTTCCATTTTAGTGCCTGTGCACCACAGCGTCTGCTTGCCATCGGGTGGAATGTGTGCTCTTTTTCACTCATACTCTACAAGAAATAAGATTGCTATTATCATGATAATTTTAACTATGTTCGTCTACTTGATGGTATGCGGATGCTGTGATTTATAGACACCTACATTTTTGTATAGGATAAGGGTGACAAACGAGCACACAGTCTACCTGTTGGTAAGTGGATGCTGTGGCCCATAGACATCTACATTTAACCTCGATTAAGAATAAAAATGCAGTTCATTGTCACCCCTGAGGACGGATGGAATGCCTCGAATCCAGTAAAAGGGTATCAGGTTCTCTACATTCACCATACGAAACATAGCAGCATTAAGCTGCTATTTTACGCTGGTTTTCTGTGAGAGCGTGGTCCTTCCCCGGTTGAGTCGACCCATTCATGCTACAACCATAATATAGCTGCAGTGCGGCTCTACCATGTCGAAATAATAAAGTATCCTCGATTTAAATAATACACAGATGTGTTATCACCCTTAAGAACCGAGAGAGTTTATTCGATCACTTCATTGATATCAACATTATAGTCACTTTTTAGTGCATTGCGCTGTATTCTATACAGCTTTCCTAGAGCTACAACGGCTCAAAAACACGCGATGCAATGTACTACAAAGTGACTTATATTGATGTTAGCGAAGTTCTTTTTATAGAATAAGGGTGAAGAGCACACATTAGTAACTCAGCATTCGACGACGACGAAGCAAAAATGCGATGATGCCATTCTCAGTTCACGCCCAAAACTTACCGTCGCCGATCGTCGCAGTCTGCTACTAGTTGCCTACTACAGTTCAGTCTTTGACCGCTGAACTTTTTAATTGTCTAATTGTGTTGTGTAGTGAAAGTGTGGCTTTACCTCGTGATTAGCATGACTATAAATATCATAAGAGCAACTAAATAAAAGAACCGAAGATATAAATAATATCCTCACATATGAAATTAGCGTTTTGTCGTACTTACCACTTTGATCTGAAATATCTCGTCTTTGGTTAAGAACATTTGAGTTTTGAAAACAGTCATTCATTTGTTTTTCCTCATTATTTTTTTCTTTGGCGTCGCTTATTACCGCACAATGGAAAACATGAAATATCGGTATATATATGAGTACCAGTTCTACCGTGGCACCAGTGCTGCAGAAACAGCTCGAAGGATTAATGATGTGTACAGGGCTGGTATCGCAAAAGAAAGCACGGTACGTTTTTGGTTTCAACGTTTTCGTTCTGGAAATTTCGTCCTTCAGAATCAACCCCGTGGACGGCGGAAGTGAAAAATGAAGAATTAAATGCTATTGTGGAAGCGGATCCACCACAAAGCACTTCAGAGATAGCTGCAGGCTTCGGGATAAGTGATAAAACTGTACTTAATCCACTTGAAGCAAATCGGGAAAGTAAAAAAACTTGAACCATACATCATGAATTGAGTGAATCGAGATTGCAAACACGCGTCGACTGCTGTGTTACTTTGCTCAATCGACACAAAAATGAAGGGATTTGAAATCGAAACATCACTTGTGATGAAAAGTGGATACTGTATGATAATAGGAAGTGCTTGTCGCAATGGCTCAACCCTGGAGACCCAGCCAAATCCTGCACTAAACGAAAATTGACTCAGAAAAAGTTACTTGTGAGTATTTGGTGGAATAGCGCCGGTGTCGTTTACTACAGCTTTCTAAAATCTGGTCAAAGGATTACGGCAGATATCTATTTTCAGCAACTGCAAACCTTGAAGGAAGAACTAGTTGCTAAACAACCGAGATTGGTCGCTCTAGGCCACTGCTGCTTCATGACAACGCAAGACCACACATTGCACAACAAACAACCACAAGCAATGGAACTTTTGACGAACTATTCCGTCAATAACTTTTACAGAATTGAGAGTAAACATGTTTATGTAAACTTTATTTTATAAATAAAGCAGTCTCTGAAATATATGTAGGAAAATGTAATCGCTTGATATCTATTTTAGATCGTAGGCGAACAAGGATCTCAGTCTACAGCGTGCGACTACGATGCTGGCACCAACGTGTTGTTCTTTACGCAGGTAGTAAACTATTGATACCTATACTTTCTTATCGCTTATTCAAAACTTCTTTTTATAGCTCTCAATAAGGGGCCACACAGACTACCTGATGATAAGTGAATACTGATGCTGATGCCCTTTTAATAGCCTTTTAAGAATCAAAAGGCAGATGGGTTGTCATCCATGACTAAGGTGGAATGCCTCGTTTCCAGTAAAAAGGGTCTGCGATCTACACTCACCATACGAAACACGAAGCCTACCTATTCGTGTTGCAACTATAATATAGCTTCAGCGTGATTATACCACGTATAAATTATTATTAAATTAATAAATTTTTGTTGTATAAATATGTGCATCATGCATGGATGCAGACATTTATACAAAGAAAATGGATGCAGGTGGCTCAGGACCGTGCTTTGTGGCATAACTTGGGGGAGGCCTATGTTCAGCAGTGGACTTGTGAAGGGCTGTAATGATGATGATAAATGTCTTTGAAAATAAAGTTTAAGTTTACCTTATTAAACATACATTTTATATACATATCTTTAAATTTCTCTTAATGCTATTTGTTGATCGCCTAGCCATCAATATTATTTGAAACTGCACTACAGATAATGTTTGTGACATCTTACTGGTCTTTGGGTACGCATCCAAACTCACCGGCTCACTCCGATCTTATCGCAGAAGCGTTAGGTTAGGTTAGTTAGTAGTTAGTTTAGTTAGGTTCGTTGGATATGAAGGGATTATATAACTTCAAACCGGCCGGGATCTATCATAATTAACGTATCAAGTAAGGGAAGGGGAGGTGGACCATGGTTTCTGGTGTCAAAAATAAGCTACCCGCCGTAACCTTTACACAAACACTCACACTCCTACACACACATTTAGGTGGTAATCTGTGACACACACGCACACGCACACGCACACTCACACGCACACTCACACGCCCACACACACGCACACGCATACGCACACACACATACGCCAAGTACAGCAATGACTTTTTACGTAAATCTTTATTTTAAAGTTAAGTAAAAATGGCGTCGGGTGTTGGAATCTGGACCGAAAGTTCACTGAGGAGAACACCCCACTACTCGTCAGCGACTGCAATGTCCTTGAGTACCCTAACGACATCAAGGTGAATAGACGCTTTTTCTTTTATTCTTTTTCTTTCTACGCCTAAAAATGCAATGCAGTCCAACTAATTAATATTTGTTGGCAGTCAATTTGTAAAAGATGAAAAATGAACGGGACGGAATGAAAAATGTTCCATGTTTGTTTGTTTAAAAACATTATTTCTTCTCTATCGCCTCCTGGTTATAATTAAAAAAATAAAACTTATTTTATATGAGGGGGTGGGGGCAAACGGGCATACGGCTTACCTGATGATGTGACTACTGTCACCCATGAACAATTGCAACACCAGGGGAATAGCAAATGCGTTGCCGGCCTTTTAAAAAAGAGTAGGCTCTTCTCTCAAAGGTCCATCAGTAATATCAGTTCGTAAAAATAGCTGGTGATAGTCGATTCCACAAGAAAGTTGTGCGAGGAAGAAAACTTCTTGTAAATCGCACAGTAGTGGACCGCCAATCATCTAGGTGGTAAGGATGGTATCTCAAGTTCAGACGCGATGTGCGACGGTAAAATTGAGCGGCTGGAATTAATCCGGACAGTTCCTGTGAGTACTTCCCATGGTAAATACGATAGAATACGCAAAGAGATGCAACATCTCTTCGCAGCGCTAGTGTGTCAAGCTGAAAGTACTCGGTCGCCGACGATCCGAAACGCTTTGCGTGGATACGATCAAATGGAAGGAGCTGGCATTGGGGAGCCTTGGCCCAGAGATGGGAACAGTATTCCACGTAAGATACTGGTTGAGACTATAAGGGGGTGTCAACAATAACCGTGCCCATACTTATTTCCTTGTAACCAGTTTTGATCCGTTACAGCCTATTATTGCCTGGTACTGAACACTGAGCTCCCGTAGGCTGCCTCATAGGAAGGAAGAGAACCCGCAGTTTTTTAAACGTTATCACGAAGACGCGGCTGCCCGTCTCCTGATTCGGTTGCTGTCTGTCGTCTCTCTTACGACACCCCCGTCAATATTTAAGTAAATGTTTAAGAAGATTATTTTGTCTCTTACGCCTCCTGGTTGTGATTATAAAATAAAACTAATTTCCTTCTAACCAGTTTTCATCATGACTATATAATTATTCCAATGGCATAAATAAAAATACTTACTCAACTGTGAAAAGTACATAATAGAAGCGTTTTTCATATTTGAGAAAACTCTCTCGTACCTACTTCATTCTTCGTCCGCACCTCATAAGCAATGTACTTAATTTAGTAATTAACGATGATTACGAGGGTAACTGTAATGTCTCTGTTCCCAAAAATTGTCTGATAAAGGAGATATTATTTGCCAGTGTTGCCACAATGCCAAGGCAGAAGATGAGATTTAAACAGCAGTTTTTTTTATTTTTTAGTTGTTATGAATATGATGTTGGTCAACTCCTGGTTTATTTCTCACCTCTTACGACACACACGACACATTGTGGGCTAGTGGATACTTGTACACCTCCTTTATATGGACATATTTATTACATTTGATCTAGTAGTATATTACCCTCACGTAGAGGATAATATGGTCGCCTTAAGCTTTGCCACTCTATAAAATAAAAACTAGGATGACAGAAATAAAAACACAAGGTCGTAAAGTAAAACTAATATATTAAGAAAAAAATTGCAAACAATCTCTTGCAATAATTAGAAACACTTCGAAAAATCAACTTAAATAAAACTAACTACACTACACCATACCAAAATTTACTAAAATATTTACTACTAGCTTTTTACCCGCGGCTTCGCTCGCATGGACTTCCGTCGAGGAACATCATTAATACTGCTCCATACCAAAATCAACAAAGTTGAATCACTTGTAGAGTTTTCTAGTTGTCACGTTTGATAGTCAAGTGATACATTTTGAATTTCAATCAATTATCTTTGGTAAGGTTACATTATTTACCTTTTACTCTTCACATTTATTCGTAAATTAAGGTAATTTAATTTTGACCAAATAATGTCGAATTTCGTTGTTTATATTGGGATATTTGTTTTGTATCATTGGCCTATTGAATATTGATTGGCACTATATATAGTTGCTTATATTTTTACTAATTCATCAAATAGAGTTAAAAACTTATATCGGATAACTTAATACCAGATCGTAGAATTAATCATATTATTGTGAAATGCTGGACCACTTCGAATATCGCAATCATTTCATGATAGTCTATTATTACTGACCATCTCTCCATAGTATAAAACAAAATCGCTTCCCACCGTCTCTACGCTTAGATCTTTTAAACTATGCAACAGGTTTTCATCAATAGACAGAATGATTCTAGAGGAAGGTTTATATATATATATATATATATATATATATATATATATATATAAATATATAGTATGTATATATAAATCAATTGCTGTCCGATAGGCTCGCTAAAACTCATCGATTTTGATGAAATTTTTAGTATCGTGTAAATGTCGGCGTTTGTAGAATTTATCCTCAATTTACAATTGAATCTAAGAAGTCAATTCTAGTTTCGCCATAATATCATACGAAAGCATCAGCGACAGTAGATTGATATGCGGCTAGGGTGAGGCTTGGGCTACCTCAAAGCCGCGAACATTTATATTTGAAATGTTCCCGATGAGGCATAGAGTTATGGATTCTATTAAAAATTCTGTTTCTGTTAAAAAATGCGCTATCGGCGCCGCTAGCGGTGATTAATGAAACTATTTTACGATATAATTAGAATATTATGAAAAAGCAATTTTAGGTTTACTTGTTAATTTCTTCAAACAATGTATATTCATCGATTTGGTCAAGCTTTATCATGATAAAATCAACAGACAGTGTTAAATTTCCCGAAATGCCACAATTTCATGTAATTGAAAAAAATCTGAAAATTGAAAAATCTTTATTGCAACAAAAACGAATTTATACATATTAATGTGATCCTAGCTCCTGTAAAAGGTTAACCTGAGTAACAGGAGCTAGTTCCTTCCTAAAAATTTAACAAGCTTTTGTTGTTGTTGTTGTTGTTGTGCGTGCGTGCGTGCGTGCGTGGTGAGGGTGTGTTTTTACTATTTTACTGTGAAGATTTTATATTTTGAAATTTGTATGATTGCCTGCATTGTTAATGATTTATACAACAAATAATATGAGAACAATAAAAAATTATAATTACATTTACATATTACAGGTTTAATAGACATTCAGTAGCGTCATAGTCATAAGTTTGAAGACAATTAATAATTTTATTTTTGATTTGATGGTTGTTGTAGCTTTTAGTAATACAAATTTTATTAAATTTAATACCGGCGCAAGGTAAAAAAATTGTCTTTTGGCAAAAGCACTATGTGTTCTAGGGACTAAGTATCTATCTACTTTATTTCTTCTATTATGTTTTATATCGTCAAGTTGATATTGTGCAGAGTACCTATGGAATCGCCTAATACATTGGTATATAAATAATTTTCTCACACTAAGTACCTGCGTTTTATCATACAACAGTGTTGTGGGATGTCTATACGGAAGACAAAGTAATACTTTGAGCACAACACGTTGAGCTCTTTCAGCGTCTATTAAGTACGTTTTGCCTGCCCCACCCCAGGAACAGATCCCATAAGATGACAGATTGACAGAGCGCATTAAAAGTTTGTATCAGTAACTTAGAGTCTGCTACCTGACGCAATGATTTAAAAACATATATGAGTTTCCTTATCCTGTTCGATATGATTTTGATATGTGGAGCCCAATTCAGATTTTCATCGACAGTGATCCCTAAGTATTTCACAGTAGTAATGATCGAATATTTATGATAAATAATCAATTCTACCATCTGGCGCGACATATACAAAAATATCTTTAAATAAACTATAAGTGTAATGAGAGTTTTGCAATAATCGTAGACAAACCAATGTTAATCAGTTCATTATTGTATATTAGTAATTAAACTAAAAACCATTAAAATTTTCATAGATTTCACTATTATCTATTTAAATTATTGCAATTAATATGAAAGAATGAAAAACCTTAAATAAATCTTACAAGTTTCAAATCATTTAATAAATATAATTACTTAAACCTATAAATGTAAGTTATTTATGTTATTTAATTTATTAGTAACTGATAACTGAAGGCCAAATATACTTCTTTTTACATTTTGTGACAGATGGCGCTGTTTCGTTTGTACGTACAATGTAGATCGTTGGCGTAGTTTCAAATTATTACATATCAGTTAAAACAAATTTTAAACTTCAATTATAAATACTTTATTCCTTTAAAAAACACAACGTTATCCCGCTTATAACTAACAGAATCATACATAATAGAAAATTAACTTCTAAAAAAAGGAAAATATTTAACCCTCCTTTTTTAAGTTCCGAAATCGGATAAAAAGTAGCCTATAAGTAGTCCAGGGTCACTAACTGTCTCTGTCTCTGTCCAATAGTTTTTGCGTGAATCTTTAATACACAGACAGACAGACAGATAAAAAATCTAAAAACCAGTAATTTGGCTTCAGTATCCTTTATTTAGTCCTATGGACTTGTTTTTTCCAGGAAATATTAGAATTTCAGAAACGACTTTTTTTACAGATTTATTATATGTATAGATTAATGGTCAAAATGGCGTCGATAAAGAAAAGCCCTTTTTGCCTTTTACGAGTATTATTTGATAATCTGATGAAGAGCTATCGTATCACAAAGACATCTATGCAAACAAGGCTGTAGTTTTGGAGTTATTAGAAAGTGACAAAATTAACCACTATTATCCTCATTACTATATGCTTTTTGTCTCTGAAAAACCTGATCTCTTGTGTCCGTGTTTTAGGTGGACCCCGACGGCAATGTATGGATTTTGAGCGACCGACAGTCGCGTTTCCTATATGACCAGATGAACTTTGAGCAGACGAACTTCCGCGTCTTGACCGCTCGAGCGTCGACACTTATTAGTGGATCACGCTGCCATATGACGCCGCTTGAAAAGGCTATAAGTTATATAAAATCGCCGAAATCCGCCTAATATTGGTGATTTATTTCATCGAAAATAAAATTAAGTTTTCATTGAGACAAAAGCAAAACTACCGGGCGATCAGCTACCGGACTAGCTTGTTGCCATACACGCATTTATTGACAGGTGACAGAATATTGTTCCTTGCCATACAAACGTAAAAATGTAGATTTACAATTTGATTGATCTCGATGTGCTTTCTGGAAGCCAAAATCGCTATAATTGTGCAGATTTTAAAAGTCGAACAACAGGAATCAGACTGCTGCTTTCAAATATTATAAGGAAATTCCGAACGAGTTTTAACAATTTCCATTAACGTATAATTTTATTTGCATTTAAGTTGTGAACGATTATTGATCATCGTTATTAACATTCTAAGAGCTGATTTTTCAAGCCTCAGATAAAAGTTATTAATAGCGGATATTTCAACACAATAATTTTAAAAATTACAGCTGTATGAATAAAAAGGTTAGGTTACCTATATTTCATTGATAGATAACTGACGATATACCTGACGATTCAAACATTAGCCTTTAGGGCTATAATTTATTTTGTGCGTCCATTATATCAAAAAACCCAATCGATAATAAAAAAAGAATATACAATCTAATTGTTTCATTTTATGTTTGCATTGATAGATGAACTAGTGTTAGGCCACACCGAAACAGTTATAATGGCAGAATCCTTGCAAAAACCTTAGCCATGGCACTATGCTCAACGACCTTAGAACAGACAGAATCTTGTTTACAGTCCATGTTGTTTGTGATAGAGCTACGTTGCAGCTATATTATGCTGCAACACGAATGGATCGGCTCGACCGGAGAAGGACCAAACCCTCACAGAATACCAGCGTAAAGGAGCAGCTTAATACATTATACATTATAGTCCTCAGGGTGACAACGCATCTGCATTTTGATTCTTAAGAGGATAAATGTAGATGTCTATGGGTCACAGCATCCACTTACCATCAGACAGTATGCTCGTTTGTCACCCTTATTCAATTTTTAAATAAACGGCACGGGAGGATATGGATTCTCTTAAGTCTCCACCAGACGAGATTTTAATAGTCCCAATTATGTAAATAAAATTAAAACAAATAATTTAAATATTTATTTAAATATACAACATTGTAATTATAACTATGTAAATTAAATAAGTCTATGTGATGGGATATAATTCAACATTACGCATGTAACTCTACGATCTCTGGAGTGTCGTATGTCTTCCAGTATTTCAGTCTTTTTCATCACAAAGCAACGTTGCGACGCGATCGGTACTAAAGGAGTCAATACTGATATAGACGAAAAGTTGACAGTGTTACATTTCTTGTAAGTTTGATACAATGTACCTAAGTGTTTAATATAATTTATTGATTTTCAGTTCAAATACAAAAATAATAAGAAAGATTTTTTTTAGCACAATCGGATCTACAAATGTTTTTTAAATGGAAAAGTGTCAATAAACCAAGGTTATTGAATAATTTTTTTAGAAAATATATTCCACTACTATATAAAAGTGACTTTCGTTAAATACGTTATTCTAGGAAACTAAACTAAAGTATAAACAAAATTTATACTTTGATCATAGTTAACATTTAAATAATTTATTTATATTCAGATCAGGATTCTCTACTTTAACTTTGTACAATTTCTCCATTATAAAGCGTGTGGTTCAAATGTTTATTGTACACCCTAAAAATCCTCAGAACATATTACTTCGAGTACCAGACAATATAATGAAGTTCTTAGTTAGTATACAATAGTATTGTGAATATTATATGTAGATACGAGATAATATTTTTAAAAGAAAATCAATTTTACTTACATATAAGGTACAGTTAAAAGTTATCCGAATATCGATCAACTCAACCTTGACTTCGCGGTGTAAAGCTTTATATTGGTAATCAAGATGTAATTAAGATATGTAGTATTTGTATTCCAAATCATGAATTTACGTTGACTATTTTGATGTTTATTATTTCTAGTCAAATTTGAACATCATGCAAGAGAAACAGAACCTGAGTCGAGATTTCTAGTCTACTGAAGACACATGTCACAATAAAGAGCATTTTGGTCATGTGCAGAACGTGAGATAATTACATAGAAGTCAAAAGGTTTATGTATAAATGTTATCCAAATTTCCCCACACTCAAAACATTTACAAATCTGTTTTAATTGACTATGCATCGATTTGGCTTTTAAAAATTAAGCATTTATTTTTTATTTTAACAGGTTATTTATTTTAATGTTTGATACGAGACAGAGCCACGCTGCAGCTATATTAATGTAGCGTAACGCGAATGGGTCAGATCAACCCGAGAAGGGACCACGCTCTCACTGAACACCAGCGTAAAATACACAGGTCGGTGCTGCTGTGTTTCGTATGGTGAGTGTAGACAACCGAACACTCTTATTACTAGAAACGAGGCATTTCATCTTAGTGGTCAGGGTTGACAACGCATCCGTATTTTGAAAGGCCAAAGAATCCACTTAAGTCATTATAAACTTCATTGTTCGCGATCAACTAATGAAACGTTTAGCCATTTTTAAATGATAGTTAACAACGTGAATTTGGTCATAACGTCTGTGACATTATATATATATATTAATTATTTCTAGAACAAATGAAGATCGACAAAATTAAGGTAGTGCGACTGACTCTTCCTTGTACCAAAAACAGGCCCATTTCCAGCAGTGGGACCTATAATGATCGACATCGTCTATGATCTGAGCCCAGGAAGTTCAGACGTAAATAATAATGATTCTTTGGGCATTGAATTGCAAAAGGAGTGCTGTTCGAATAGTTTTTTGTGTGTGCTGGTTCTTTACATATAATGACCTTACTGGTTTTAAAAGCCCTGTAAAAAAAAATGTGCGTTCATTCTGACTCCAAACAACCTGTAGCGTAACAACCGAAATGCGTAACAATAAAATATAATATGATGAGAATATTTACAAATTTATTGCTGATTTTCATAATAGGCCTTAATGACAGTCGACGAATTAAACTTGACAAATCTTAACGGAGTTCGCACGTATACGTTCATCACAAATTTGAAAGAGTTTTCACACGATTTACTATTTTAATGCAATTACAATAAGAATGAAGTTTGCGATTAACCATACTTAAAGATGCAAGACGACTATTATATAGAGTCATTGCTTAGTTGCTTGAGTACGCTCACTTTGGGATATGAAAGTAAGGTGATTGGGTTGCTCTATCAACCAAGGAAAGGTGATGTGACTTTATAATTATATTTGAAAAAACTCCAGACCAGAGCAGTTGTAAATAGAGCGTCATTTTTGATGCTGCAATGATAGAGTTGCCATCAAGGCAACAATTTTATTCTGTAGTACACTTCATAATTCAACACGGATTCAACTTAAGAAAAAAATGGAAGTGATTCTCCGCGTACACCGAATACACACATCAATCCATAATGATGATAGCACTAGAAACCTACTAACTGGCGTAGGACAACGGATTAGTACGCTAAAGTGGCAATGTGTCACCCATATAGCTCGAAGAACCGACAACAGAGAAGAAAGGTTTTCGAGAGGCAGTTTCGTATCGGTAAGTGGAGTGTAGGACGGCTCTTCGTGGTCGATGGATGCAAGTCATAGGTGAACGCCGTAGACTGGCATGGGGCAAAGAATCCGGGACTTTTTCCCCTCGCGATATGACAGGGCCAATGCCCTATGGAGGGGGCTATACTCGGACTTTCTACACGTGTTAGACTTCGTAAATGGAGATATCTGTATTAGAACCGGAGAAACCGACACAGCCCAGAGGATCAGTAAGCTATAGGTCAATATAATGAAAAGATACTCTTAATGTTAGCTGATCCTCAAATATTTGACATCATGTCGGTGAACGCACTCAAGACAACTCACTTAATCCATTCAAAGTCGAAACTAACTACGGCGGAAATCCGAAACAACGTAACTTCTTTAAGCGATGGTGCGTCACAAAAATGTCATAGACTATTTAAATAAAAAAAACCCAGATAAACTGTGGCGTAGGAAATTCTACCTTAGAACCTAGCATTTAAAGTCTATAATTAGTCTAAGTGCTATTATCTGGGGCCTTCGGCATTGTTGGCAGGTTTCCGTTGCGGTGTGCCTTTTGATGTGTCTAGGCGTTTCTTGAGCGGTGTGTTGTACTCCCAACCGTCTTCGCCTTTAGGGCTGAATAACTGAAAAAAAAAAGAATTATTTAGACGTCTTTTTTTAGTTTATACTAAGGGACATGCCTGGTCTAACTAGTGATGCTGGGCAGTTAGTGAAATAATCTTTGCGATATTCCCTTCTTTAAAAGTTCGTCAAAATCACTAAGCTTTGCGAACGGATTGACGGTAACAGGTACAGGTGTTCCTCCTACCGCTACTATTCATCGACGGTTAGGGTATGACTCCGGTTAGGTATGTCTGGCACAAAGTAATCGTTACACCGATAATACGTCGCAGAGTTCTGTACATGTGTGAGCCACGTGCCGCGGGGCACTGGCGGCGGTGGCGGCGTCGGAGTCGGCGGCGCGCAGCGCGGCGGTCACGTGGCGCCACGTGCCGCGGGGCACTGTACCTGTGTGAGCCACTTGTCGGGTGGCGCGGTGCCGCGTGCTGCTGCTCGAGGCGGCGCTTGGCGGCGTCGGTGTCGGCGGCGCGCAGCGCGGCGGTCACGTGGCGCTACGTGCCGCGGGGCACTGTACCTGTGTGAGCCACTTGTCGCCGGTGTTGGCCGCGGCGCTTGGCGGCGTCCGCGCAGCGGTCACGTGGAGCCACGTGCCGCGGGGCACTGTACCTGTGTGAGCCACTTGTCACCGGCGTAGGCGCGGCGCTTGGCGCCGTCGCGCTGCGGTCACGTGGCGCTACGTGCCGCGGGGCACTGTACCTGTGTGAGCCACTTGTCACCGGCGTAGGCGCGGCGCTTGGGCCTGTCGCGCTGCTGCTGCTCGAGGCGGCGCTTGGCGGCGTCGGTGTCGGCGGCGCGCAGCGCGGCAGTCACGTGGCGCCACGTGCCGCGGGGCACTGTACCTGTGTGAGCCACTTGTCGTCGGCGTCGGCGCGGCGCTTGGGCCGTCGCGCTGCTGCTGCTCGAGGCGGCGCTTGGCGGCGGTGGCGGCGTCGGTGTCAGCGGCGCGCAGCGCGGCGGTCACGTGGCGCTACGTGCCGCGGGGCACTGTACCTGTGTGAGCCACTTGTCACCGGCGTAGGCGCGGCGCTTGGCGCCGTCGCGCTGCGGTCACGTGGAGCCACGTGCCGCGGGGCACTGCACCTGTGTGGCGCTTGCCGGCGTGGCGCGGCGCTTGGCGCCGTCGCGCTCGGTCACGTGGCGCTACGTGCCGCGGGGCACTGTACCTGTGTGAGCCACTTGTCACCGGCGCCGGCGCGGCGCTTGGCGCCGTCGCGCTGCGGTCACGTGGAGCCACGTGCCGCGGGGCACTGTACCTGTGTGAGCCACTTATCGCCGGCGTCGGCGCGGCGCTTGGCGCCGTCGCGCTGCTGCTGCTCGAGGCGGCGCTTGGCGGCGGTGGCGGCGTCGGTGTCAGCGGCGCGCAGCGCGGCGGTCACGTGGCGCCACACGCGCCGCGACTCGTGCGCCGGCTGCCGCGACACCGGCGACACAAGTTTGCGCCGCGGCTTCATGTTTGCCACCTCGAACACTACTTCTGTTTTCTGCGAATTATGACGTCACTTGAATACGGTGGCAATTTTACATGACCAGTATTTCTTTTAATATTGTGGTAAACTCATAATCATGATACAAATGTATTGTAAATGTAACCATAAATAAAAAATAACTATATAAAACTATATTTAATAATAATTACTAATTAGAAATAGATATAATAAAATAATCAATTAACTAAATCAGATCAAGTTGCAAAAGTTTTAGAGAAATATTTTACCACTAAGTCAATGAATTCTTCATCTGTCGTCGCCGAATCATTACTCAAATAAAATGTAAAGCGTGTGCAAAGACTTTTATATTCTATAAAGTCTTGTCGAAAGATAACGTCGAGCGACATGCGCGCTGTGATGTACATAACTTTGCGACAAGTTGTAGTATTGTGACGTAGTGCTGTAGCTATCGCAATCATGATACCGCCTCATATCATATGTATACTATCAACTCAACATTAAAGCTGTCTTTCGCTATTTCTGTTTATAACCAATTGGCGCATTGCGTCGAGCGCTTTGTCTACGAACAGCAGGACCCAAGATCAAATCCAACGAACGGAAAGAAAAAAAAAATTCTATAAAATTTTAAATTTTAATTTTAAGATCAAGCAAAATAATTAGTCAAGTTTGAACGTTGTCATTGATTCCCGAACTCAACAGAAGTAATATCGTATCGCACATGCAACACGCGATATCACTACAACTGTATTTCGACAACCAAAACATGTTACAATGAACTAACTGAAAATTATAAGAGTACATGGGTATGTAAGATCTGCGGCAGACCAAACAACGACAGCTCTTTGATCTGACGCACGAATATACCCATTCAGAGCTCACTATAGTTAGCAAAATCTCAGAAATACCTTTTGACGTTTCACATTAATCATGCCGCAACAACTTTGCACAAGCGTAATCACACGATTTAAAATAACCTTTTACGTAAATCAGAAGAATTATGAAATTATCTATATCTCATTACAACTTGTATAGTTTTTTAACACTAATTTAAATACAAACCTTTCAAACAAAGCAAGATATTAAAAAATAACCAGTATTAACTTTTTTACTTGACGTCGTTTCAATATGTCGCTATGTACCTTACCGTAGTGTTTGGATAGTTAAAATTCATTGTTACGCGAATAATCGGCAAAAATATTCAAATAATCGGTATAAATATTCAAATAATTATATCATGAATTTATTTTAATGCATCGTTTTCATCAAGAATTACATAAAGCAATTTTTCTTTATACACATAAACATAACATAAACACTCACGCCTGTCACCCAGAGGGGTAGGCAGAGACTACAGACTTCCATTTGGCACGATCCTGACACACCTCTCTCGCCTCCTCCACATCCATACACCTACGCATACATGCTCGTCGGTTAAGGGTACTCCTAATTTGGCCCGTTTTCAATAAATCGCCAATTTGGTCGATAAATTTTCGCCTAGGACGTCATTTTCCGACTCTACCATTCACTTCTGCACCATAAATTTTCTTTGTCACTCTTTCCTCATTCATTCTTTCCACATGACCAAACCACCGAAGCATTCCTTTCTTAATCCTGGTCACAACATCATCTTGCAAACCACACTCTTCTCTTATTACACAATTTCTTACCCTGTCATTCAGATTCAGCCCTAACATACTCCTTAACGACCGCATTTCTACTGCGTTCATTCTACTCTCGTGCTTCTTCTGCCACACCCAACTTTCACTACCATACGTTAAAGTAGGGACCAACACAGCATTGTGAATTGCCATACGTGCCTTTTTCGACACAATTTGACTCTTCACAATAGAGTGCAAGGCCCCATTTACTCTATTTCCCGCATTCACTCGTCGTTATATATCCTTATCATATTCCCATCCCTGCTAAATACGCAGCCCAAATATACAAACTCATCTACTTGCTCGATCAACTCCCCTTCTATTCTTATTTCACAAATCGTTTTACTCTTTCAAAAACCATAACCTTCGTCTTACTTGCGTTCACTTTCATACTCCTTTCTTTTAATGATCCGTTTTCATTGTATCATTTGCAACTCGGCAGCCGACGACGCAAGAATAACTTGATCATCGGCGTACAAAAGGCATTTGACGGTTAACTCACCCATTCTTAATCCCCATTCTTCAACTTTCAAATTTTGCAAACAACTGTCCATAAATAGGTTGAACAGCCACGGAGAAGCCACACAGCCCTGTCTGACACCTTTATGGATGTCAAACCAGTCCGAGTAGACCCCGTTGATTCTAACACAGGCACTAGAGTCCCTATAAAGAGACTCCAATGCCTGTATCAAGCCAGCGCTCAACCCAAATGAGTTCAGTGTTTGCCACAGCAAATCCCTATCCACTCTGTCATAGGCCTTTTCCAAGTCCATGAACGCACAAAAAACCTGTTGGTTTTTGGCCAGAAACTTCTCCGCGATCATGCGCATGGAAAAGACTTGATCTGTACATCCCGTTCCCTTTCTAAATCCCGCTTGCACATCCCAAATTTTTCCATCAGTTTCTTTCATGACCCTTTCAATCAGTACCTTAGCATACAGTTTTCCCACAATGCTAAGAAGGCTGATGCCACGGTAGTTTTTACAGTCCTGCTGCGACCCTCTTCCTTTATATACTGGGACTATCACGGCTTTGCACCAGTCTACCGGTACCCGCTTCAGTTCCCAGCATAAATTAAACAAGGTGTGCAGCAGGCCTGCCACCACTTCCTCTCCAGCCCTTAGCATTTCGAGTGAAACTCTATCATATCCGGCAGCCTTACCTGCTTTCATGCTTTTCATTCTTTCATTATTTCATCTATACTTATCTCGCTACCTCTTTCCTCTTCTTTCGGTGTTTCTACTTCACTTAGTACACACGTTCTCTCCTCACTCATAAACACGCTTTCAAAATATTCCTTCCATCTCTTTAAACTCAAAACTTCATCATTCAGAATATAGCCATTCTCGTCTCTTATAGCATTCATCCATAGGCTGTTTTGAATGTCCCCTGGCAGTTCTTACAAGTTTCCAGAACATTTTAATATTTGCCTGGAAGTTATCCGATATTCTTCTATCATTCTTATCCGTTCTTTCTTGCTTTTTCCTTTCAACTACTTCTTTTACTCTCTTATTAAGATGTCTAAAGACTGCCTTTTTTCTTTCAATATCACCATTCGTACCGCTAGAATTAGCAGCCTTTGTTGCTAGTAAATCTAGCCACGCTCTCTTCTTTGCTTCATCTTCCATACGTATCTCATCATCCCACCATAACGTATTATTTTTCCTTTCATTCTTTCTCTTACTAACATCACATACTTCGGTAGCTGCATCCACTAAACCTTTCTTTACATTTTGCCATATATTCTCCAAATCTAACTCCTTCATACATAATTCATCCAAACCACTTATATTTTCTTTCAGTCTACATTTTAACTTGTTTTTATCACTTTCATCTTGTAACCTTTCTGTTCTAATACGCTGTAACGCAGTGGTAGACACAGACGATCGATGGCGCTAACGCCTGAATAGACCATTAATTCGGCATAAAACTAAATAATGATCCGTTCCTACGTTAGAACCCCGGTAAACTTTCGTATCTACCACTGCGCCCCTCAATCTTTCATCCACAATTATGAAATCTATCATGCTTCTATCGTCACCTCTTTCCCAAGTAAACATGTGAATCCTCTTGTGGCGAAAGCAAGTGTTCGTCACAAAAATATTCTATTCCATACATACGGTGAGGAGACTTTCACCATTCTCATTTATACTTTCATCACCAAACGTTCCCAATATCCTTTCATAACCAAGCCTCCTGACCCCAACTCTTCCATTAAAATCTCCTAGCATAATAATATTTTCATTTCCCTTATACTTCATTAACACCATCCTTACCATTTCCCAAAACTGCTCTCGGATATAAGTGGGCTTAGACATGTCTGGGGCGTAGACCCCTAACACAAACAACTTCTTTAAGCCCACTTTCATTCGTATCCATAGCAATCTTGGGCTTACACATTCATACTCTTTCACACATTGGCCCATTCTTTCTGAAAGAATGATACCTACTCCCTGGCATGCCCGCTCGATCTCGTCTACACCAGACCAGTATGCGGTATACATGCCATGTGTAGTGACATCCTTCCCCTTCCTTTTCGTCTCATTTACGCATAACACATCTATTCCTCTATCATACATCATATCGCATCTTTATACACCTTTGCAGAAAAGTCCATCATATAAATATCCATACTGATACAGTCCTGCTTAAATAGTCGTTGCATTAAATAGAAACTAAAATTTCATAAATTGTACAAAAAATTTGGCAACCCAAGAGATTACGACACTTTTAATTTATTGAGGAAACGAAGTAAAAAAATTAATAGAAGAGTGTTATAAGAACTTACTACGGAATGTGGAAAGTGACCTAAACGGTAATATGAAAGCCTTCTGGAAATTAGTCAAAAGAAAAAAACCAAGTGGAAATATACCTGAATCCAAGCCGAAGGACATCTGCGAACTCTTTTCCTCATATTTTCCATCTGTGTATGAAAAACCGGATAGCTATAGATTTGCATCATTTACCCCTCCACCAAAATATCTCAACTGAGTTAGTGTGTCTAAGCTGTCGTAAATTAGATGTTTCGGCTCCTGGGCCGGATGGAATTCCTGCTTTATTTGTAAAGACATGTGCAGAAGAGCTTAGTTTGCCATTGTCTATTATTTTCAATAAATCACTAAGTACGGGTACTTTCCCGAAAATATGGAAAATGCCTTTATCATTCCCATTTACAAATCCGGTGATAAAACAATATGTAAAAATTATAATAAGCATACTTTCCTGCATGGCTAAGGTTTTCGAAACATTAAATATTCACACATATACAGTCATGTTAAGCAGAAAATTTCATGTATGCAACATGGCTTCGTATCTGGTCGGTCTACGATAAGCAATTTGCTCATTTATAGAAATCACATCAGTACTGCTATCGTC